GAAGTTGACACGACAAGCAAACAGAAAGGACATTGTTGGGTGGGAGGGGGGAGAGGGAGGAAGCAGGGGGGTTTCGGTGATGGGCCACAATAATCAACCTCATTGTATATCAACAAAATAAAATTAAGAAAGAGAAAAAAAATAAAATAAAATAAAAATTTTTTTAAAAATAAATTAAATAGTGCCGGCCCGGTGGCGCACTGCTACAGTGCGCCGCTTGGGAGCGCGGTGGCACTCCCGCCGAGGGTTCGGATCCCACGTACAGATCGGTTCCCGCTCACTGGCTGAGCGAGGTGCGGGCGCAACACCGAGGGTTGCGATCCCGTTGCCGGTCCCGGTCCGTTGCGGGCGCGACACTGAGGGTTGCGATCCGTTGCCGGACACGAAAAAAGACAAAAAGGAAAAAAATAAAATAAAATAAATTAATTACATAAAATAAAATAAAAACTGTTGGATTAGGCTAACCCTGGGAGATTTCTCCATTTGTAGTTTCTGTCCAGAGCGATTTTTCCCTTTTTTTTGTTTCTTGTCTATAAGGCAAATCTCTGTTAATGACAAACAGAGTCTTCTAAACTTCATGGTAACTCCAGTTGAAGATTATGTAAAGGTACTTTGAGAATGAATATAATATATCAGCTTGTTCTATTTTGTTCATATTATCAGTTATCCATGAAGAACTCAATCTGGTTAGCCGAACATGATTCTCCTTGTAGAAACCACATTTCATTTTAAATGCTACAATTTCTTGAATAATACAGTTATATATTTGCTTTCTCCTAACTCGCCTGATATGCAAGTGAAATTTCTCAGTCTTTAGCTTTAAAATCCCCACCAAAACTCTTCTTATGGATTCCAATTGTCATTGTTTCAGCACTTTCAATGACAATTTACATTTTTGGCTAATAGATTCACAATTTTACCTTTAGAATCTTTTAAAATTTTTGATGCATTTAAACTAATTTGTTAATTACATCTATAATATGCTATAATTTTACTATTTGTTTAAATCCTTTTGTGATACTGTATTTTCTCAATTATAAGATATCTTCTTTGACCTCTTAAAAAAAAATGCTGAACATCACTAAGCATTGGGGAAATGCAAAGCAAAACCACATTAAGACATCATCCCACCCCAATTACACTGGCTATTATCAAGCAGACAGAAAATAACAAATGCTGGCATGGATGCAGAGACACTAATTTACAGATTACAAACCAATCTACATTGTTGATGACACTGTAAATTAGTGCAGCCATTATGGAAAACAGTATGGAGGTTTTCAAACAACTACAACTAGAACTGCCATACAATCCTGCAATCCCACTGCTGGGTATATATCCAGAGGAATGTAAATCATTATTTTGAAGAGATATCTGCACTCCTGTGTTTAATGCAGCTCTTATTTACAATAGTCAAGAGTTGGAACCAACTTAACTGTCCACTGACAGACAGCTGGATAAGGAAAATGTGGTATATATGCACAATGGAAAACTACTCTGCCATAAAAAAGAATGGAATTCTGCCATTTGCAGCAACATGGATGAACTTAGAGAAAACTGTGTTAAGTGAAATAAGCCAAGCATGGAAAGAGAAATGCCATGTCTTTACTCATAAGTAGGAGCTAAGAAAACAAACAAATAAATTAAAAAAAAGAAAGATACAACAATAACAATTCATTGAACTTTCAAAAGGAGAGAACAGAACTGAGGCCAACAGAGGTGGGAAAGGGGGAGATGGAAGAAGGTTAGCAAGAAATTGGTTAAGGACCATAAAAAATTATTACAGTGTGCAATACTGAATATACTAACCATCCTGATTTGAGCACATGTTGCACACAGATATTGATATTCAACATTGTACTCCACAAATATGTACACTCAATTATGTTTCAATTAAAAAAAAGAAAAACAAAATCCAAGGATAGCTAAGATAGTCCTAAAAAAGAGTAAGATGGGGAGACCCACCATACCAGATATCAAGAATTATTTTTAAAATTTTTTTTTATTCTGCCAAAAAAACTAATAAAAATATTATTTCCTCCTACTTTTTTTTCTTTCCATTTAGCTTTATATATATTTCCCTTAGTTTATACATATTTCCCTTCTGCAGTTACTTGCATTTGAATATTTTAAATTGTTAGCAATGTCCCTGTTCAGTATTACCCAATGAATGTATACATGTGGAAGAAGGGAAGGGAATATATAATGGGAGATTAAAGATACCTAAAAATTCTTTCCTACTTCTCCCATTGGAATAGCAAATAGGAGTACAGTTTCCCTCTCCTGGAATCTGTGATGAATTTAGTGACTTTTTAGATAATTAGAATGTAGTGGAGACTAGGTAATAGGAAGTCCTGCAGCTTCAACCTGGGGCTTGTGTAACTTTCTTTCTTTCAACTAGCAAGAGGAAAGTTCAACAACCCTGACACCCTAATGTAGAAGCCAGAGGGCTGTTCCAAGTCTACTACTGAGCACATCAAGGTCTCCTCTTTTCTAATATCAGAGCTTTTTTTCCCTAGGCCTTTCCATTTGATTCTAATAGTTTGCATTTCTCAGTTAAAATTCCCCATCTATTTATGCATGTTAAAGACCTTGTCCATTAGCTCCTTTAACATATTAAAATATAGACTTTTTAACATCATTATCTGATAGTGAGTTATGAGTCATCTCTGAGTTATTCTTTTCATTGTTGAGTTTCTTGACAATTTGTTGGGGGTTTTCTCCCTTATTTTGTTGCATATCTCATAAAAATCATATGCTGTCCTAATCTTTAATTAAATTTTGGACAAAAAGAAAATTATTACAGGTACAAGAGTTAACACACTATATAGTAATGATGCAGGATTAGATGAAACAAAACAGAGAGCTTAGCTAGAAACTGTATTTTATAAAGTCGCTTACAGCTAGGGTTCTGGATACGTTAGGATCATCCAATTAGACACACCTGCATAAGATTTAGAAAGCAGAAGTGAGGGCCGGCCCGGTGGCGCACTGGATAGTGCGCCGCTTGGGAAGCGCGGCGGCGCTCCCGTCCGAGGGTTCGGATCCCACATACAGACCGGCTCCCGCTCGCTGGCTGAGCGAGGCGCGGGAGCAACGCCGAGGCTTGCGATCCCGTTGCTGGTCCCCGGTCCGGTGCGGGGGCAACACTGAGGGTTGCGATCCGTTGCCGGACACGGAAAAAGGACAAAAGACAAAAAAAAAAAAAAAAGAAAGCAGAAGTGAGGTAGAAGCCATTTTCCTAAGCTTCTGATAGGAAGCTGGCAAAAAAAAATATCAAAAGCAGCCATGTCTGCATGTCCAGTCACCAGCCTGGAGGTTCTGAGCAACTTGTGGCAGTGCCAGAATCAGCAGCAGTAGCAACTTTCTGATCTCGGGATTGTAGCCATGGTGGTGTGACCTGGGAACCAATAATCCAGAGGAAGTCCCCTCCCTGGACTTCCTTTCCTAATGGGCTTCTGCTGGTTTTCAGGAACCAAATTCTTCAATCCTTTTCTGCTTGAAATAACTAGAGTGCTATTCCTGCACTAAATCATGATAGACAAAAACTGTAACAGTTCCATAATGCAGAGTCAAGTCCAATAATCAAAAGAATAAATGAATATGAATTAACTAACTTGCAAAGATTTTTTTCACCATAAGGTTCAAAAATTGTGTTTCCCACAACTTTAAAAGGATTAAATTATACCATACCACAGATGAGAAAACTCTTAAAAACAAAATCGAGTTCAGATATTTTAAGAAAAGAAAGAGAGACTACTAAAGAAAAGAAAAGGAGGTTGTGCCCAGGTAATACACCAACCAAATATATACCACACAGACCTTTACTCAAACTGTTTTTTTAAAAATACTGAATCTTTTTCATAGTAAGAGTCAATTGTTGCATATCAGATGTTGGAATACAAATCTTCCTTAAAGAAAAAAAAAAGTAAACACACAGCCTTAATAAAGTACAGTGTGGACAAATACACCACACTCCAAAAAAAGAAAGAAAAGGAAGAATGAAGAAGGAAGAGGGAGAGAGAGAGAAAGGGAGGCAAGGAGCCAGAGTATTTTTCATATTAAACAATGTAGAGTAGGGGCCGGCCCGGTGGCACACTCGGTAGAGTGTGGCGCTTGGGAGCACGGTGGTGCTCCCGCTGAGGGTTTGGATCCCATATAGAGACCGGTCCGCTCACTGGTTGAGCGTGGTGCGGGCGCAACACCAAGGGTTGCGATCCCGTTGCCGGTCATGGTACAGGCGCAACACCGAGGGTTGTGATCCCGTTACCGGTCACAAAAAAAGACAAAAAGGAAAAAAAAAACAATCTAGAGTAAAATACAAGAAATCTGTGAGAACTCCCAGAACACAGACTCCAAAGAGAAAACTGAAACAACTACCTTGGTAGTTGTTTGGGAGGTTGGGAGAAGGTGCTTAAGCCATTTCTAAATAGTAAATTACCTTGAAGGACCCTGGTTCAGGTGAGAGCACTTCCAAAGAAGCATCTGAACTTCTTCTCCCAGGATGTGTTCTTGAAGGTGAGGGTGGTTTTGAAATTCCATCTAGATTTCCCTTTATAATATCCATTGATATCCTAAAACAAACAAAATATTTAAAAGTAAGTGACTTGGGTGTTTAAATGTTTCATTAGTTAATGTTAATATCCAATTACTCAGAGCTTTTGTTTTAAGGATTATGTTACTACCAAAGTCATACTTAAGGGTTCCCAGATTTCTTCAGAAGACATCTTTTGAGCATGGAATGTTAAATCTTATGTCACTATAGGCACAAGACATGCTTCCCAGGATGTTAGATACTGAAAGTAGCTAAGAGAGAATGCAGAAGTGGATGCCATCTTGATGGCTACCTGTGCCTCCAGGAGAATACATTTACTGTGTCCTTGGTCTTCCCTGAGGGAACACTCATGGGCCCTCTCAACCAAGATCCACTTCATCTTAATGATTTGCTAAAGCCTCCCCGCTACCTTCTTCCGGTTTTGCCTTCCTCATTCTACCCTTTCCCACTCTAGCTCAGCCTTCAGCATGGGCTTGCCCCCCCAGTTCTGATTTCTCCTCTTCTCTTTAGGGCCACAAACTAATAATAAGATAGGTAGTTTCATGGAGTGCCTACCTCCAGGGCACTGCTCTCATTTTATCAACCCTCCCCTACTAAAGCCCATGGTTCTACTTCCACCCTCTGAAGAAAGAGAACAAAGCCTACTTCCTTTATTAGAGGACAGACTTTCATTATCTGGCTACACATTGCCAATCTCTTTCATTATTTTTCAAATGACACCATCATAGACCTCTCACCACCATTGCTCCTCTATTCTCAGTTCTGTTTTCTGAAACAAGAAATAGTAAGTAGGTGGCGTAAGCTAGAGGGAGAACATAACCATTGCAGGCACATTGATCCTTCCAAACTGTGCCTCACTCAGAACCACTACAGATTTGTCCAGTGATGTAGGGGTAACATACATGCTGGGTAAAAAGGAAGAAATAGGAAGAATTCCAGCTTTTGACTTCTCATACTTAGCTTTTACATGTGAATGGATATCTTCCAACAAATCCTTTTCTAAATTCCTATGAATTTTATGTTTAACCATTTCTCTCATAATACAACGAAGAAAGGCAATTGCCTCTACCCCAACAATGTCCTTTTCTTACCCTACAAAATGACTCATCTTTCTTTCTTTTTCTGACAGCAGAGTCCCGAGAAGCTTTGCACATAGGAGGAAGCACAAACATTAAAAGCATAAAGTCTCTCCTAGGCACACAGACGAATAATATGGTTTGGTCTCCATTCAATATGCTAAAGCTGATGTTTAAGAGGCCAGTAGGTCAACTCTTCCCATCTCAGCAAATGAAAAAAGCATTGATTCTAACATTATTCAAACTCTGCAAAAAGGTTTGGACTCACTCAGGAAGACACTGACATTATTACCATGGGATGATGGATCACCCTGGCCCTCACGTCACAACCAAAAAGCATAAGGCACCAAAAGGCTAAACATCTTGTAAATGCCCTCAGCAGCCTGTCAAGGGAGACTTATTGAAGCTTACAGAGGGGGCAATGAAATGGAAACACGTGCAGAGCCAGTATAATACATGTCAGTAAAGGAAGAGGCACAGGGAACCATTAATGACACGGATCAGCTAAAAGGCTCCAGAAATCTTTCAATTTGCTTTAGAAATAAGTCTGTTCTATTATGTTCTCTCCTAAAAGTAATAAATGAAATAAAATACAATTCCTAGGGTAGGTGGGGATATAATTGGCCGACTACCTTATGAATTTGGCCATGTGGCAAAAAACATTAAAACAGGGCATTAAAACAGGATCTCATAGATGTATTTGAATGTTTGAGAAGAAATCTCAATTGACACAGGGAAATTTCACAACAAAAATAAAGCACTGTACAAGAAAGAAAGCAATCAAACAATAGATAGTTATCATATAAGCCCTGAATGTTGATTTAACCAAATATTGTACCTTAATTACATTGAGTGTATGGAGGGAGAAGTGCGCAAAGGAATGGGGTAGTATAAAAAATCTATTTGTCATGATAGGATATGAAAGAGAATGTCCATAAACTGATAACGCCAAACAATTGCTAAATAAATATAATATTTAGGAGTTTAAGATGGTTGCCTCTGGGGAATGAGACAAGGAATTGCTTTCTTTTCCTCCATTGTAAAAGTTATAGTACAATTTGACATACTTTAATAAAGGTAAAAACTAATTTTAAAAGTAATAAATAAATGTGAAATATGAACTCTCCAAGGGACTGGAAGGAAACAAAATGTTAATTTGCATAATTATCAAATTAATGACATATTAAGCACGTCACCAACAGCATAAATCAAAAAAAAAGATACTATTAGATTTAACGTAATGCTCTTGAGTCTCAAACATAAAAAGAATTCTAAACGAAATTAAAATGGACCTGAGAAACTGGGGAAAATATATGCAATATGGATGTTATACAAAACTTTAATCAATTTACATATTTATAAGAGCTTTGACAAATCAATAAGAAAAAAAAAATGTTCCAATAGAAAACTGGCTAAGGATATAAACAAGAAATTCACATACAAAAAATAAAGAAAGAAGTTCAAATTGTCAATAATCTTGCTTTTAAAAAGTCCAATTTCTCTAATTAAAGGACTATACAGAAAGGGACCTGAAGGGCCGAGCCCGTGGCGCACTCGGGAGAGTGCGGCGCTGGGAGCACAGCAGCGCTCCCACCACGGGTTCAGATCCTATATAGGGATGACTGGTTCGCTCACAGCACTCACTGGCTGAGTGCAGTGTGGCCGGTCTCAAAAAGGACAAAAAAAAAGAAAGGGACCTAAAAAACAATCTCACATCAAAAAAGTAAGGGTGGTTGGTTCTGGATTGGTGGGTTCCTGAATGTTTTTATGTCCTTTTCTTACCTTTTGCTTATCGGCATTTTCTGGCTTTTTATTAACTATATCTTGCATTCATAATTAAAGAATTTATTTATTGTAGAAATTTCCTAAAAAGTATTCAAAAATAAAAATCACCCAACATCTCACCACCCTGAGCTAAGCACTATTGGTACATTTCTTTTCCACTGTTGCACTGTCATTTTCAACAAAATTGGACTCACATGTTTTCCACTTAACATTACATGAGGAGCATTTTCTTATGACATTAAAATACTTCAAAATAGAATATTATTTACTTCATTATATTCAATTAAATAGATACATGACCAGATTCTAAACTGTAACAAATTACTAACATGTGCCAATTTTTTATAACATTCATTTCAAACAAAAGTTAAACTTTTTACAGGGTTGTAAGAAATGCAACCACTATGGATAATTTAACACCAAAATGGGGACATGTTCTTGCTGTAATTTGATATTTTTGGATAAATAAAAGAATCAAAAGAAAATGAGTCTTCCTCTGTTTAGTAATTATGAATAACAAGCCTTAAAAAGTGAAATTTATTTATTTTCATGATTTTTATGTATAAAAATTACTTATGGTCAATTTTTTTATTTTATATATTTATTTATTATGTAAGATATACTTGCCCATCAGGAAAAAAAAATCAAATACAGAAGAATGTCAAAGTTTTTAAAGTCAAAATTCCCTTCACCCTATGAACCAGTGTTAAAAAATTCTTAAGCTTCATTTTTTCAGACATATGCAAACCTATCCTTTAGGCCCACCTACTCCTTCCTAACAAATGCACATAAATGACACGGTGCTTTGTAACTCACTTCTTCACACTTAACACTATATTTTAGAGAATTTCTATATCACTATTTATAGACTTACGAAATAAGCTTCCAAACGACAGTGTGATATTCAATTCCAGAGATATAGAATATTTTAACCAGCTCATTTACACTGTATATAGAGTATTTGCTAATAAAAGCAATTTTAAAACTTACAAAAATGGATCACAGACCTAAAGTAAAACTTAAAACTATACAATTTCTAGAAAATATGTGTGACTGTGGGTTAGGCAAAGATTTCTTGTATATAATATTAAAGGCATGATTCATAAAAGAGAATATTGATAAATTGGAATGCATCTGTTGGGAAAATAGAATAATTTACTCAGGTCCCCTCGCTTTAGGGACAGTTGGGGGTGGTGCGGCACATTCTTTGTAAGCAAATTGTGTGTGGGTGGGTGGAGTTAGTGTGTGTGCATGGCACTGCCACCTTGGCTGGCAACTGCCTTGGGCATCCACTGTGCGCAGCTATGCTCTCCAACCTACCAAGGACCTTTTGATGTTTACCTAGCTCATAGACCTGCATGTGAGGGGTCTGGTGACCCAGCCCTACCTCAACAATTGGCCCAGTCAGCAGGATTATGGGCAGGTAAAAGAGCTCAACAGCATCAAAATTGTACTTGTACTTTTCAAAAGGCATTGTTAAGAAAAGGAAAACAAAACCCAAAGAGTAGGAGAAAACATTTGCAAAACACATATCTAACAAAGGACTTGTATCCAAGATATATAAAAAAGTATCAAGATTTAATAATAAAAAACAAAAGATTTGAAAAGCCATATCACGTACAAAAAATGTGTGAATGTAAATTAGCTCATGAAAAGATCATTAGTCCTCAGAAAAATGTGAATTAAAACCACAATGAGATAGCACTACACACCTGTTTGAATGGCAAAAATTAATTTTTTCAATAACTGACAATACCAAGTGCTGCCAAAGTTGGGGAACAACTGGAATTCTCATATATTGCCGCAATGAGAATGAAAAATGGGACAGCCACTTTACAAAACTGCTCGGCAGTTTCTTATAAAGTTAAACATACACTTGCCATATGACTCCACAATCTCATCCCTAAATATTTACCCAAGAAATTAAAACATATTCATACAAAAAACTGTACATGCATATTTATAGTGGCTTTGTTAATAACTGCCAAAAACTAGAAACAATCCAAATGTCCCTCAATTAGGGAATGGATAAACAAACTATGGTACATCCATTCAATGGAATACTAGTTAGCAAATTAAGGGAAAAAATAACTGATACACAGAACATGGATGAATATCAACTGCACTATGCTAAGTTGAAAAAAGCCAGATTCAAAAAGTAACATAATGTTTGCTTCCATCAATACAACAGTCTGGGGAAAAGACCCCAGGCAGCTTGCCCACAATGTGCACAGAAGGCAGGACCCAGTACCACTTGCTGCAACTGAGGCCACACAGGCAGGGAAAAGCCCCCAGGCAGCCTGCCCACTGCCTGCACAGAAGGCAGGACCAAGAGCCTCCCTCTGCGACTGGGGACACACAGGCTGGAAAAGCCCCAGATAGCCCTCCTACCACCCATAACGAAGGCAGGACCCAGCACTGTCTGCTGCAACCAGGAGGCCCCACACAACCTCTGCACAGGTGGCCCACAACAGCCACCACCACAGCTTCTACCACTGCAAGGATGGCTATACACCACAGTAGCAGCCATGACCACCACGCAGGTGGCCTGCCACATATTCAACTGCATTGACACAAGGAGAGTCACTTGAGGCGCCTGGAAAAAGAGGAGGAAGTCTTTCTCCTCAAAGTCTACTCCAGAGTAATAGAAGCAGAAACTGATCTACTACATGACCAGAAATCAATATAGAGATATTAGAAATATGAAAAAATAAGAAAATAAGACACCACTAAAGAAATATAGTAATTCTCAAGTACCAGACCCTACAGAAAGTCAATAAATGTGATATACCACACCAACAAACTCAAGGACAAAAACCATATGATTATCTCAGTACACACAGAAACAGCATTTGACAAAAATTCAGCAATACTTCGTGATAAAAACTCTCAGCAAATTCGGTATAGAAGGAAAATATCTCAACACAATAAAAGCCATGTGTGACATACCCACCTACAATGTCATCCTGAACAGGAACAAGACAAAGATGCCCACTGTCACCACTCCTATTAAACATAGTGTTAGAAGTGCTGGCAAGGGCCGGCCCGGTGGCGCACTGCTACAGTGCGCCGCTTAGGAGTACGGTGGCGCTCCCGCTGAGGGTTCGGATCCCACATACAGACCGGTTCCCGCTCACTGGCTGAGTGAGGTGTGGGAGCAACACCGAGGGTTGCGATCCCGTTGCCGGTCCCGGTCCGGTACGGGCGCAACACTGAGGGTTGCGATCCGTTGCCGGACATGAAAAAAGACAAAAAAAAAAAAAAAAAAAGAAGTGCTGGCAAGAACAATCAGGCAAGAGAAAG